AGAAAAAGCTGTTTTCTGCAGTTTTTCCTCCAAATTTGCTTGGCCAACCTTCCGTATTCCACCTACTTTCATGTTCTTTGAATAAAATTCAAGTTTAACATGATCATGCATGAATATAACTTAAACATGAAACACTTTAAATGCATGAAATGCGGCAAATGAACATGAAAACTCCCTTTTTGCCTCAATATAAACACCTTTGCAATTGAGATCATTTGCATGAACTCTTGCCATTGCCACCTATAAAATACACAAAAACATTAATCGAACAACTAAGATTTACTAAAAACAAGCCAACATGAAGAAAAGTCGAGTTGAAAAGTGATCCAAGCCTTCGTATTTGAAAGGATCCGAGGTCAGATCATGATGATTGAGCTCGGATCAAGAAGCTCGAAATTTTTCTCTGATTGCAGAAGTGGATCCGAGCTCGGATCCATTGAATTTGCACGTATTGCAGAATTTTTGCAATTTTTAGTTTGACCCCAATTATTCAAAATACACCCTAGATCATTTCTATGTCAAAATAAACCATTTACGCACATGTAAAATGATCTAAACATGCATTCTAAACCTCTTTAATGCATCAAAAACCACAATTACTGAATTTGAGGTATTGAGATCTTTGATCAAACTTCGTCTTTTTCACCTCATTTGGTCACTTTTTCAAAACCTACAAATGAAAAACAACAAAATTACTCAAACTTATACTTTAAACATAAAATCACTCCAAAGTAACAGCAACTTAAACAAACATTGGGTTGCCTCCCAATAAGCGCTTCTTTAAAGTCAATAGCTTGACTATTTCTCCTCATTTTTTAAGGAGGTTTAGTTAACGAATAATCCACCATTTTAGGCCGTGGTGGATCATTAAATGGTGACTTTATAGCCAAAGCCACATGATCTAATGATGTGAGAAATGAAAGTGACTTACCTATCCCAAGTGTTTCATAGATATTACCACGAATATGCACCACTTGAGAACTTACCAAAGGAAATGTCATGAGAGTATCTTGGGCAGGAATACCTTTAGAACCTATACTTTCACTGCACTCCTCAAGAGGGGTGAAAAATGAGTCATTAAAACTCACATCTTGAGGCTCAAAGTTAGTTTCAAAGGTATTATCATGTGAAATGGATATTTGCTCATTGAAATATAATTGAGATTCATCATTTTCATCCAAATGCAATCCATTTTCACATACAACATTTCCACCATTCATGCTAGGATCATTTTGCAAATTATTAGAAGAAATAACTTCACACAATACATTCAATTGCTCATGTATTCTACCAAAGTGAGAAGCTAATTCATCTATTCTTTCCTCAATCCTATCAAAATGGTCGGAAGTTGCATTTGCTAGCTTTTCTATTGCTGAATCAAATTGATTAGAATAATTTTCTACAGCTAGCTCCCAAGATGCATTAGAATCATTAGCTAATGGTTCATTCTCTAATTCCCAAGGCAGAGGTGCATTAGCTAACCTTTCTATTGCCAACTCCCAAGATGGTTTTGATTCATATTGGACACTTTCCGGTTGGTAATCATAAAAATATGAATAATCACTATAAGTACATTGACTTTCCCAACCATACGCAGGAGAATTGCTCCAATTAGCACTATATTGATCACAACAGGGGTTGTAATGCTCTAATTCATCATAATAATCCACATTTTGTGCTTGTATACATGTATTAGTAGCATGATAACTTCCACACAAGTCACAAATCACATGATAAGAATTAAAAGCATTAGCATTACTCCCTTGCTCAATTTCATGCATAATTGTGTCCAGTTGAACTTGTAACATCATAATATCAAATTTAGTCTTTAAGCACCTTATACCATCTTCAAAAGACATACATTCAGCAAATTCTTGGTTACCTCTGTTGAAGGAGCTTTGCACTTGATAACCATCCATTGCCATTCTTCCACTTCTCAAGCATTGTCCTCCAAATTGACCTACCCTTCTCATCACCTAAAATTGCTTTTAAACAACCTCAAAAGCAAAATTAGTAAGAAAAATAGGTAATGAAACACATACACACATAAAACACAAAAATAATAGAAAATAACATTCACATTATAACTAATATTATGTCTAAACTAATAAAGTTGCTCTTCACACCGAATACTACATATCGGGTAAACTAGTAGTTTAGGGTATATATCGGGTCGATCCCATGAGGAAGAGTGAACAATTACCGATATTACTAAAGCTTCTCTATTATTTAGACTATCAATGAATTATAACAAATTTAACCTACTGAAATTACACAAATAAAAGCTCCTTAGGTTATGGTATCCCTAACTACTCATGCAAGTGCTATATTTGGATCATTGAATACTACATGTAGGCTAGTTATGGTGTAATTTCCTTATGCATTTGAATCCTACTTTCGTAGTGAATCAATTATACTTATAACTAATCCATACCTATTCTCATGGTTATGAAATTAGCTACAAGTTCATTTCTTCAGTGAAATTACATGAAATGAATCACTAAAAACTACATAGGTGCACCTCTACTTTCGTGAGTGTACTTCCTATGTTTAGCACTTCTTGAACTAGTGATAAATCTCAATTTTCATTGCAGAAACAACACCTTAGATAATCACAATCAATCATACCAGATTAATCATGATTTAGAGAGCCAAAGTACTAAATAACTTGCTCAAATCATAGCAATCAAATAACTAAATAATAAACACTAACAATTATAGAAAGTTCAACCAAACCCAAGGTATAAACTTTAGAGATGCATAATAAACACAAAATCCAGAACTTGTATATTAACTAAACTTGGAATCAAGTACAAAAGATAAAGAGTTTGGAAGGAATACAACCCTTGTCACATGAGCTTTCTTCCTTGCCTTCTTCATCCTAATCTAGATAATAAACAAGAATGGACAAACTATACTACTCTATACTAAGCTAAACTAACACTAGGGAGATGAAAGAGCTACATTTCTGCAACTTCAAGCTTCTCCCGTATCTCTCTCTATTGTATTGTTGGATCCCCAATCCCTCTTGCAATCTTGGCTATTTTATGATGAAAGATGGTCAAGAAATGAGGCCTCCACCTTCCTTTTACAGCTGGAGATGTTTCTCACATGTCTAGCATCGCATGTGAGTTGGTGGGAGTGAAATTGAGTTTTACGCGTACAGAGCAGCCTTTTCTGACCACAATCCGGCCAGAAATCCGGCTCTAAATCCGGCCAAGTTCAGGCCGGATTGCTACAGTAAATCTGGACTGCTTCAGTGATCCGATCTGCTACAGTACCTCGGATCCTTATAGATCCGAGCCCGGTTCCACTTACCCAGAAACAGCCGAGGGTTCGGATGAATAGTGGATCCGAGTGCGGATCACTTGCTCTATTTTTGGCCCAACTTCAACCGATCGTTTCTTGATGTTAGAGGCTAAACCAGCTCATGTCTAAAACACAAACGTTGTAGCTTTTTGAGTTATTTTTCCAATGCATCAAGAATCACCTCATTTGGATCTGTGTAGGCTGAGATCTGACCGAAATACCCTTGCCTGCTCATTGCCCTGTTTCAGCTTCGACCAAATGAAATTGGCTACTGTACTTCGGCTTTTTGACTTGGAAAACCTTCAAACTGGATTCAGATGTCTTCACCAAAGTTGTAGATCTATCTCTTATCTTAAAATTGGTTTAAGAATCATCTCAATCCGGTCATTGTAGCTCAAGTTATAGCCAAAATACGAAGATGTGTCAAAACTGTCAAAATGCGCAAAATTCCACTAAAAAGTGATAAAAGCCTCATTTAATCACTTAAAAGCATTTTTCACCAATTATAGCCAAAATGATTCATTTTCTTCCAATAATATAACTAAAGTGACTAAAAATAATATGAAATATCATACAATTATTACGTAAATTAGTCACTTATCAAATGTAAAATTAAAGTATAATTGTATTAAACTATATACTGCATATTGATAGGATTTTTTTAGGCCATGTAGAAAAGAATATCTTTTCTCCATTTTCAAGTTGAATTGATTATCAAACACATTTAACTTTAAAAACTGAGTAAGTTAAGATTGTGCACTTAGAATTTCAATCTTCACATTTCATACTTTAGTTTTCAGTTTTACCAACCCCTAAACAATTATGAATTAGTTAGGTTCTTTCCTCCTCTGAATTCCATGCGTTCTTTTCCTTTTAAATTCCCTTAAAGAAGGGTTATCACAAGCAAAATAAACATGTAAATAAATAAAAGAATTATGTATAAATATAAAAAATGTTGAATTGAAAATGAATTAGTTTTCAGCAATTCAAGAAATGCTTGTGCAACTCAGTTTGTGATGCTAGAATTGAAAATGATAACTCTTAATTATTAGAAGATTTTTGCCTTGGAATGTTAGTATATTTCTGTGTTTGAACATGACCCCAAACACTGTTTGAGCTGGACTTTTTTTTTAAAAAAAAAATTTCCTAAGCATTTTTTCGTCCTTAATTTGTATGTTTTGCAAATTTATAGGCATTCATTTTTTTAAAAAATCAATTTAAGACTTGGTACAGTGGTCAAAAATATAACTTGACCACTCTACCCCCCTTAAGATGGTGCGTAAAAGTTGGACGACCAAGTTGACCCAATAGTAAGAGTCAAAGGGCAACAATGTCTCAAATTGAAATTAAATGACAAAAAGTGGTTCAAAAAAAAGTTAGAGGACTATTTGGGTGATTTGTTTTGAAAAAACAAAGATCATCATCAAATTACCTTTAATCCATTGAAAAATTGGCCTAATAAGAAAATTAACAAGCTCTGATTTCATCCGCTTTGAAACTAATCTAAATGGTTGTTCAAACTAGTATACTGTAGTTTGTGAGTTGTTCATGCAAGACAGCGCAAAGCACAATATTTATCCTCCAACATTTTATTTAGTTTGGGAATTCATAACCCATAGTTATACATAACTGGCAAACAACCAGGATTACATTTCATCTCTCAGCAGGTAACGAGAGGAACTTATTCATGATTAGATGGCTGGGAACTTATTCATGGACTTTTTACCATAAGCCAGAACATCAGAGTTAAAATAAGGCCTGATTTTTTCACTGGAAAAAAGGCATTCGTATTTGCCCTCAAGCACCATGATCCCTCCAAATTTGGGGAACCACACCACAAAGAAAAGAACCTCCAGAAGTTGCGGGTCACATGGGATGTAACCCTCGGCGGCAGAATCTCCAGTTAATCCCAGGAATAATGTAGTATTATAGTTGCGTAGATAATAATACCATTTAAGCCAGCTTACGATGAGGTTAAAGGGATTGCCTGGACTATATTCACATGAAGGATCACCGAAAAATTGCACCCACACGTAGTCAAAGACGCCAGTGTTGATAGCAGCGTCAAGATAATAGTCAGGAATTCGACAAAGTGGTGCTGCAGATAAGTACACCTTTTTGTCAAGTGCGCAATTATCTCGGAGTGCCTGGGCGAGAACATCCAGACTATTGTTTGATCCGCTTCGGAAATGGAAGTCTGTTCCATTTACAGTAGCACCGAGAGGACCAGGGCCTGAACCATCATTCAAAAATTCGTCACAGATATAAGCTGCAACAATCGGAGCATCATCAGGGGAAAGTAAAGGCCTCCCACCAAGGGAAAGAAATAGTTTGATGCCTAGGCCCTTGCAGATATCTATGTCAGGACCTAGGGAGGTGCAGTAAGGCGGGATGCTCGTTTGGTTACCCTTGAAATTTAGGCAGGCGATAGCCACGTATTCATAGGTACCATCGAGGCATCTCTCAGTCAGGTTTCCATCCTTAGGACTTGCCCAGTAGAACCCAACTCCTTGGCCTTTTGAGGACCTGATCAAGGATGAAATCATCAGCAGGGGTATTATTGCTAAGAAGAGGGGTCGTAAACTAGCAGCCATGTTGAATATTTCTTTTGAGTTGTTATAGGAGTTTTGCAGTGGTGATTTTGGCTGCCGAATGATGGACCATTTATAGAAGAGCTCATCGTAGGTGCCAAATTCAACATGTGCCAAATAATACTTATTCACATTCTTACTAAGTTTGAAGAAAAATGAAGGGCATTTTTTTTTTTCGGATTTCATGCAATGCACATGTGGTCTCCTCCAATAATTGAACCCTAGGCGTAGCAAACTTGGGTTTGGGCAGCAATTTGGTGTGCAAAATAGATGGATACATCCCCTCATCGAGGGTCTCTTTGGTCATTGGGCATCATCGAAGGTCGGTCCACATTCTTCGTGGATAGTACATGAAATGGCTATATGATAGTAATGGCGTTGTTGGCCACCAGAGTAGTTACCTGGGAGCCAAGGTGTGCCACCATTCATCATTCAGCGACAAGGGAGCAAAAGGCATTTCCTATAGAATGTGAATAAGTACTATTGAGCATCAGTGACGAATGTGTTCTTTGATTTATAGAAGAGTTCATCGTAGGTGCCAAATAGTAGTTATTCACATTCTTACTAAGTTTGAAGAATAGTTACTATTCAGCATCAGCAGAGACTCTCTGAAACAAAAACAAACAAAAGTCTATAAGAAACAAAACAAAGATTCCTTCCATAAACAAAACAAAAGTCAACCGCAAAAATTCAGAAATTTCACTCTCTGAAACAAAAACAAACTTGCTACTACTTTAGTGCAAGATGAGGAATATCTAAGTCCTCAGTGTCGAATGACACAATTGTAAAGCTCCGCATGGGCCGTTGCTCAAGTTGTATAGCTTGCTTTGATTTCAATACAAGTTTTAACGTTTCCGTAAAAAAAAAAAAACAAAAACAAACTTACCTAGCCAAAAAAAAAAAAGAAGAAGAAAAGAAAAGAAAAAACATTAAAAAAATAGAAGGTCAACCTCGAATTTCTAACATGGAAGCAACAGAGAAGGCTAGACTATACATGCATTATTCTACTAGTATATGTCAAGCCTGCAACAAAATTATTTTTTGGTGCAGAAAGCAATTGCTTAGTCAAATATAAATTCTAAACCCTTCATATAAAGATAAAAAAAAAGTCCTTCATCAACGTTATGCATAAAAAGTCACTAATACATACATTATCAATGCAAGAAAAATATTTGCCTAAAAGAACAATTCATGGCTTCGAATTTTCATTGTGAAATTAATTGAACTTTTATAAGCACTTATCATAATCCACACATACAGTCCTACATTTTGACCTGTGAGTATCTAGTTGCCAAATTAACCTTTTAAATTGAGAATCTTGCTATCGCAAGAATAATTCAACCATGATAGAACCATGTATTTGCTTGTATAACATTTAACGATAAGTTCAAAAACATTCCTGAGGTTTCTACCAATTATTGGAAACTCCCTTGTTGTTTTAGAAATTAATTGCACTTAATCCCCTTTCTAGTGTTAAATTCCTTCAGGAAACACTTATTCAATGCAAGCAATCAAGTTTACCACCCAGAAGAAAAAAAAAAGGGTTGAGAATCATATCAATCAGTTAATCCATGTTAATGCGATATAAAGACCATGGATTATGAGAACAAATTGATTTGCGAAAAACCAAGAACCGAAATTCTTTTAATGATTGGAATTTTAGTGTTGGTAATCTACTCCTCCATTCTTTTTTGTTTTCTTTCTTTGAGTACAAGAGAAACAAAGAATCTACTATTTTGCTGGGATGCCATGGTTGGGTGAGGAATGGTGTAAGTGCAATGGGTTTTGAAGAGTTGGATTGGTATTAAAGTGGTAGGAATGTGATTAGTATCCAGTGTATACATCAAGCATAGCACATAATCCAGTGCCTCTCTTTTGACTAAAGTGCATCCCAATCTCTGTTGACAGGGATGAGTTGGAGGTTACTTTAACCAAGCACCTCGAGTTGGAGACACCTCTTGAAATAGAATTAAGTGAAGATCTGAAATGTATAATAGGGGCGTTACACTCGCTGCCAATCACGACGAAAAGGCACCTATTTTTATACCCGAACCTCATTAGAGGGTATTACCATCTGTGGTGCAGGCACCTATGTTGGAATTGAAACCTCTGCCAAAGCACTTGAAATATGCATATTTGGGTGAGAAGAAAACACTCCTGGTGATTATCTCGGCGGGACTATCAGAAACCCAGAAGGAGAAACTAATCCGAGTTCTTAGAGAACATAAAGAGGCGATAGGGTGAACCATCGCAGACATTAAGGGAATCAACCCCTCTATCTGTATGCACCGAATAAGGCTCGACGAAGATGCAAAACCTGTACGACAAGCTCAAAGGAGGTTCAATCCCCTCATGATGGAAGTGGTCAAGAAGGAGATATTGAAGTTGCTAGATGTGGGGATCATATTCGCGATATCAGATAGCCCATAGATGAACCCAGTACAGGTAGTTCCAAAGAAGACAGGAGTGACAGTGGAGGCCAACCAAACGGGTGAGCTTGTGCCAATGCGCAAACCCACCGGATGGAGGCAGTGTATAGACTACTGCAAATTAAATGCCGTCACAAAAAATGACCATTTTCCTTTTCCTTTCATTGACCAAATGATTGAACGTTTAGCTTTTCGGGCTTATTATTGCTTTTTGGATGGATTTTCAGGGTATTTTCAGATTGCAATCGCACCAGAGGATCAAGAGAAGATGACCTTCATGTTCCCGTTTGGGACCTTTGCATACAGACGCATGCCCTTTGGATTGTGCAATGCATCTGCAACATTCCAGAGATGTATGGTAAGTATCTTTTTAGAATATGTTGAGAAAATTATTGAGGTTTTCATGGATGATTTTAGTGTATACGGTGATAGTTTCGATACTTGTCTAGCTAACCTGAAATTGATCTTGTTAAGATGTATAGAGACTAATCTCGTGTTTAACTGGAAAAAATGTCATTTTATTGTTGAACATGGGATAGTCCTAGGTCATGTAGTATCCTCCAAGGGTATTGAGGTTGATAGGGCTAAAATAGACATTATATTGGCTTTACCTTACTCCACGAGTGTGCGGGAAGTGCGCTCTTTTCTTGGGCATTCAGGGTTTTACCAAAGGTTCATCAAAGATTTCTCGAAGATTGGAGCCCATTTGTTCCAGCTTTTACAAAAAAATGTGGCCTTTGAGTTCGATGACAAGTGTGAGAGAGCCTTCGACAAATTAAAGGAGTTATTGACATCGCCACCGATTATCCAACCCCCTGGCTGGAGTCGACCTTTTGAGATTATATGCGATGCCAGTGACCATGCAATGGGGGCTGTGTTGGGGTAGAGAGTAGGAAAGGCAGCTCACGTCATCTACTATGTATCTCGAGCCTTGAATGGAGCTCAAATGAACTACTTCACTACTGAAAATGAGCTTCTTACGGTTGTCTTTACTTTAGAAAAGTTTAGGTCATATTTGTTAGGTGCTAAAGTTATTGTATTTTCTGATCATGCAGCATTGAGGTACCAAATGACCAAGAAAGATGCAAAACTGAGACTCATAAGGTGGATACTGCTCCTGCAAGAGTTCGACCTGGAGATAAAAGATAAAAGAGACTCCGAGAATTTGGTGGCCGACCATTTAAGTCGCATACCAGTTAAAGAGGAGAACGTACCATTGAGGGATACATTCCCTGATGAACACTTATTTTCTTTAAATTCTCAATTGCCTTGGTATACTGATTTAGTTAGTTACCTAGTAACTGGAAATTTCCCTGCAGATTGGCCAAAATCGAAGAGGGACAAATTGAAGAGCGATGCCAAGTACTTCATATGGGATGACCCGTACTTGTGGAAGAGATGTGTTGGCCAAGTGATAAGAAGATGCGTAAGTGAAACTGAATTTCAGTCGATTTTAACTTTCTGTCATACTTTTGCCTGTGGAGGCCATTTTGGACCAAAGCGAACTGCGCATACGGTATTAGAGAGTGGGTTTTATTGGTCTTCATTATTTAAAGATGCATATGTGTTTTGTAAATCCTGTGATCGATGTCAAAGGGTAGGTAATATAGCCCATAGAGATCATATGTCCCAAATTCCGTTGATTTTTGTTGAAATTTTTGATGTTTGGGGTATAGATTTTATGGGGTCTTTTCCTACCTCATTTGGGTTTATTTACATATTGTTGACAGTCGATTATGTCTCCAAATAGGTGGAAGCTAAAGCCACCCAGACTAATGATTCAAATGTGGTTGCAAATTTTATCAAGTTTTATATTTTTGTGTGTTTTGGGATGCCAAGAGCCATTGTTAGTGACAGGGGGATGCACTTATGCAATAAGATCATAACTGCGCTGTTTTGAAGGTACGGTGTACTCCACAAGATCTCGACATCGTACTACCCTCAAACCAATGGTCAAGCGGAGCTCTCGAATAGGGAGATTAAGTCTATACTGGAGAAAATGGTGCGACCCGATAGGAAGGATTGGAGTATGCGATTAAAAGATGCATTATGAGCATATAGGACTGCGTACAAGACACCAATTGGCATATCTCCTTATCGGTTAGTGTTTAGGAAGCCATGTCACCTCCCGGTCGAGTTCGAGCATAGGGCATTTTGGGCGGTTAAGCAATGCAATATGGACATGTGGAATTCAAAGGAAGTTGCAATTACAAGAGTTAGAGGACATTCGAAATAAAGCATACGAGAATACTATGATTTATAAGGAGAAAAATAAGATCTTTCATGACCAACAAATCTCTATGAAGACATTTGTTTGCAGGCAAAAAGTTCTACTATATCACTCAAAGCTGAAACTATTTCCTGGTAAATTACGTTCTTGTTGGATCGGTTCTTTTGTTGTGACTAATGTCTTTCACTATGGTGCAGTGGAGATCCAAAGTTTGAAAACGGAGAAGAAATTTGTGGTGAATGGTTACTGTCTCAAGCCATATTATGAAGGGTTTCCAGTTGAACGAGTGGAGATGATGCAACTAGAAGACCCGACTTACTTAGTTAAAGCGAATTTTGGGCTCCGTCTGGCCGAAAACGTTAAAGAGAGGCGCTTTTTGGAAGGCAATCCAAATATTGATTTTATTTATTTTTCATTGTTCAATGCTTTAAATTGGTCGTTTCTCACTTGGGTCTTGATTGATCTTGATATTTTCCTCAACTGTGACCAGGACAGGAAACTTGACGTGCCCACGCGAGAAGGGCACGCGTTAATCTTATAAGCCCAAGCCCCATGGTCAGGAGACTTTTGCAAAACATGGCGTGCCCACGTCATGTTGGTAAAAAACCTCAACATCTCGCGACATTGGCAAGAAATGGAATCATGGCTGCCCATGCGAGGAGGGCACGCGTTAAACCGCGAAGTGTGATTCCCAAGGTCAGAATACTTTTACCAAACTTGGCGTCCCCACGCCGTGTTTGACGACCCAAAAACAAAAGAATATAAAAAATAAAAAAAAAGAAGAAAAAAAAAATTTCCCGTTTAACCCTCAATTTCGATTTTCAAATACAAATTTTAAAATTTAAATTCGAAAAAAAACAAATTAGGGGAAACCTTTTTTTTTTCTTTTTGTTCTTTTCTTTTCTTTTTTTGTTCTTTCTTTCTTCTTCCCCTGTTTCTCCTTTCCCCCTTTTTCTATTTCGGCCAAACCCTTTGCCATCGCCGCCACCGCCTCTTTACTTGGCGCCATCAGCGTTGCCGCTGTCGCCGCGAGTGCCGCTCGTATTTCTTTCCCTCCATCTCCACTTGTGGCCGCCGCCCCTCCAATCTCTCTCTTTCCCCGCTGTTCTCTCTCTCTCTCTCTCTTCGATTCAACCTCG